AAATTGCTTAATGCTTTATAAATAAACAGAATATTTGCAGGCTTTTTAAGCTTAATTCAGTAACCTTTTGTTAATTACATTTTAATATATACTGTACACATATTGTTGATATTTCATTTAAAAATTACTCTCAAATAAATGAAAAAGGTTAATACTTGGGCGTTTTCGATTCTGCCTTAAATGGCATGTATTATATGAGAACGGATTAGAGAGCAGTTATATTAAAGGTTATATTGTTATGGAGTAGTTTAACCTTTATTTGTTGGCATATATGTTAGTATGATATTTATAAAACATTTAAATTATAAATAAATTTAAAACATAAATATGATTTTATAAGTCATCTTTAGTCTGTTGTCTATATTTTAGGAAATAAATAGTCTTATCCATAAGATTTCTATTATTTACTCATATTGAATAAATATTTTATTGATTTATAATTTATTATTATTAACAAAGTTATAACGTTATTGAAACTTACATCTAATTTAAATAATAGGAGCTATCGCTATATGGCCTTAAGCTTGACTTATATATTGTGTAGACTGGTCTAATACCTTTCGCCTTCTTTCTGCCAGTAATATGATTCTTAGTTAAAAAAATTTTTGGTTCTTGAATAACAAAAAACTTTGTTTGTTCCTTTGTTGAATACCGGGTTTTAAAGAGTTTTAAATCAGTTTATTTTTTTAGCTCCTTATGTAATTGCATTTAACATTGTTGTTGTCATCTATTTCTTGACCCCAGTAATAATGCTCGTTAAAAATGAATAATTCCTTTTCTAACATTTGACAGGTTAATCACAGCAGACTACAAATTTCTTTCTGTAAGAGTCATTTTCAAGTCATTTTTTAAGCTTAAGATTAAGAATTTGAATGGTCGAATTTAATAGATTTAATCTCTCAGCAATCTCACAAGTTACTATCAATGTCGGTTCGTATCTCTTTTGTGTTTTGATTAGCTTCATCTGGCCTTCCAGAACACAGTGCGACTTTAGCATCAGAATTACCGAATGGCAATTTTGCAAACCAGTTTCGACATCGCCCTTGTCTCAATATATGTTCTCTTTAGAAATTTTATTATTATATTGAGGCTAGTGAAGTCAGTGCACTTGTACACTTTTACTCTCTATTAATTGTGCGGTTTCTTCATAATCCCTCTTTACGCCTGGACTGGGTTACTGTTTTTCATTTCATCAGACTAAGCAATAATTGACCTCAGATCTGCATACCTCCCCGAAAAGCCTGTTACCATTCTGAGATTCGATAATGCGGTGTTGGTAAGTCTGTCAGTCTTCGTAAATAATTTCAGGGTTCTATCCTTTATGTATTTTTTGATCGGATCAATCTTGAGGTCCCTAAGGATGTTATTCGTCCTAATGTACCATGGTATCTTGAAAAGTCTTCTCAGAGCATGGCTTTGTGCACTTTCTAGCTGACAAATAGTAGTGTTTGAGGCTTTGCTAAACGCTACACATGCATATAGAAATGGCGGTCGAATTATTTGGTTATACCTATAACAGCTTTCTGTTCTTAGTATTAAGATTTTAATTTTTAAACAGCGGTTGGAGGTGATGGAAAATTTTGACACTGTCATCCTTTTAATAGTTCAACTTGTTTAAGTTTATATATATAACCATAATATGCTATTCACAAGAATGGGTATCAATTAAACTGAAATAAAATTAAATAAAAAATTGATATGATGAATTCAGTCCTAAAACTTTCACTTTTGTTCCAGTGTACTTTTTTTGAATTTGTATAATACAGAGAATGAAATTAAAAATAAAACATATTTAAAAAGCGAATTTAATTGACTATACTCTCCCAGTCAATGTTTTTTTTATCCAAAAATAGTTTGCTGAGAACAGCAAAAATCAAATTGGTTTAATTTAATGTCGTATAAAGAAGTAAAGTTCATTGTCACGTAATTCGTAAATCTTCAAAATTGTTGTAAAATTTTATATGAGTTTTTCTCAAAAGATAACTAAACAGATAAACTTAATTACATTCGTGAGACTTGCACGTGCCAAAGAGGCTCGCCTACTTTTAAGTTTCGCACAAGTATCTCATAGTGCAATATTTCAGTAATAGACGCAGACCCAAATTAACGCACACAAACGTGCAAATATCTTTGAAATACCATACATTCAACTTTATTGTTTAGCAGGAATTGTTTTATTATCACGAAATTAATTAATTTTCGAATCATTTATGGCATTAGGTTAAAAATAATAAAATTAATTATAATTTTCGCAGCTCCTCACGTGTCGGCAAATCATCCATTGTGGCCAGATTTTTAGGCAATCGGTATGAAGAGGCATACACACCCACCATTGAGGATTTTCACCGAAAATTGTATCGCATACGTAATGAAGTGTATCAATTGGATATATTGGATACATCCGGTTATCATCCGTTTCCGGCTATGCGACGTTTATCATTTATGACTGGTAAGTAGAATAAAGCCTTGTAGTAGTTTATATTAATGGGTTTGGAAGAGTGAGTATTGTATATGTTTGGGTTTTACTACAATGGAAACAAAATGTTTCGATATGAATATGTAATTGATTGTTGAGAAATATGGAGGAAAGTTTATTTTCGTTTATAAATTTATTATTAATTTTCAGTCTGTTTTTTACGTAAAATATCAATGCATTGGATGATATTTCACAACAAAGATTCTGTGGGCCACCTCATTATAAGACAGATTACTCATTGGAACAATAACCTTAGATTAGAATTATTTAAATTAATACACAAATTAAGTATAAAATCTATTTAATTTGTGGGACTTTTGAAGAGAAGATTCAAAGAACTCTATTGCAAAGTTATTACGATTATATTGTAATCTGTCTCGGGAATTAGATTTTTAGTTAAAGTAAATATTTTTGCAATGAAAGATGTCTGAAGCATCAATTGATGATTCGGTTAAAGCTAGAACTTCAGGTTTACTTGTAAATATTGCAATATTATTTAGTCTCATTGCATTTAAGCTATACTGTTTCCAAAGAAACTCAGCGCTGAGATATCTATTAGTCAATAATGGTCGATATATAATTATTTTCTCGCTTGCTTTGAACATCTAAGCAAATTGATCGACATTTTATTGTTACTTACCTTTTAATGTTACATTATTCTGAGTATGTAGGTGAAATGGAGAAGCCAATATTAAATTTTGTTTTAAATTGAGAAAAATTAATGAAGGACTAATAAATAAGTACGAGAACGAACACATGTTCTGATCATATATTTTCCGTTGGATTGACTAATTCCATTATAGTTATGTGGTACTTGAAAACGATAATTATGGCAGCTAACAAAAACCACTCACAACGAAAACAAAATGTGGATAAAGTTAGAACAATTTTTTTAATGGACTATTTTATGGCTGCTAAATTCATTAAATAGGAAACTGGAATAGCGAAAAGTATAGCCGATCAAGTTCTGATCGAAGATTTGCTCAAATGTAGAATACTTGCATGTTTTGTGCATCCCACTCTGGCTTATAAATGTTTCCAGAATTCTGCATTGCAAACTCATCGCAAAAATGTATCAACGAGTCCAACAAGGAACTGTAACCGGAAATGAAACCTGACGTTTCAATACGTCCTAAAAACAAATCACAAAAATGCAGAATGTTAGTTATCAGAAGAGTGAAAAGAGAAAAAGTAACGTTTTAAAGTTATCTTATTTGGGAAGATATTAATTTTTCCCTTCGATTTAAAAAAAAATCGATTTTCAATTTTCGTTATAAATTTTATCTCAGATGGAAAGATGGCGTACACAAAATATTATCTGGAAGTGCTATAGCTCTTGTGGGTGAAAATTTGATTAGTTCGAGTGGAATATCGATGTACCAGGTAGTTGATTTTTTTGCATATTAATGCAAAATCACACTAAATCATCGCGTTATATATCTGTAACACACTAGATATGTAAAATTTTGGTCAAAAAAAGGTGTAATATTTGCTATCGATCAAGCACTTTAATGATATGAATATGCTTTATGTGGTTATTACGGGTTATTCTTCAAATGGAAACTGAACATTTTAGCAGTATTCCGATAATTCAAATAGTTTTGACTGACATAAAAAAGATTTGACTCCGGGTGAACATTTGTAAAGTTGTGTTGATAATGCTGAGAAAATAAAAATAAAAAAATTACAGTTATAAACCGTTTATATGGTTTGGAATCTTATGTCATTAGCTTCAAGACTGATTTCGTCAGATTTAATCTTTTCTTTATACTGGTAAGACTGACTGTAATAGATTGAAATTATTTAAATTGATTATTATTATTGTTAAGGAATGTGACACTGCGACCGTCGGGTCTCTAAGTCCTGTTGTGTCAATAAAAAGCAGAGTTAGAGCAACTTTACAGAGTTTAATTGCCTCTTCACTAAAGGTATACATTCTCAGGAAGCCTATTCGTTTAAGTTGAAATTAAAATTAAATTTATTGTCTATTATGCCCCTCCTGGGTACAGAGTAGGTCTTAACCCCGGTGTCAATAAAAAGTAGTGTAGAGCCAATTTTACAGAGTTTAATTGCCTCTTCCGTAAAGGTATACATTCTCAGGAGTCTATTTCGTTTTAAGTTGAAATTAAATTTAAATTTATTGGTCTATTGTGCCCCCTTCTGGGTATAGAGTAGGTCTCTAAACCCCGTTGTGTCAATAAAAAGTAGTATGGAACCGACTTTACAGCCTTTAATTGTCTCTTCCGTAAGGATATACATTCCCAGGAGTCTATTCCGTTTTAAGTTGAAATTAAATTTAAATTTGTAGTATTTTTAACTTTTTCTAAATTTCTATGAAATCAATAAAAAATCCTCTTAAAAAACTATTGCAAAATTTTAATATCTTTCTTCACAAGGAAGAAAAGAAAAATATTCTTATTTTTCATTATTCAAAACTCCAGTGAATAAAATTTTCCTGAACGCAAAAAACAAAGATTATATCAACTTTCATTTCTTTGTTCCAGTATCTCTTTCTCTCTCTCTCTCATTTGTTTGGTTTTGAGTCTATATTATTTCAAGTGAAAAAGCAAAAACATATATACAGAAATTAATAATAACACAGTCGCACAAAGAGGAAGGGAAAACACTAACAAAACGAAATCAAAACAAACTTAGTGTGATAATGATTGTAAAGGCACAATAGGAAGGAAACGCTGAACTCCTAAAACGGAAGTGGCAGCGGCTGTATTCAGTTGTTGCTATAAATGCTGAAGTGGAATCAGCACTT